TTTGTTCGGTACCGGATATCTGTGTGTGCCAATCCACTGGATCCACTGGGCATGTGTACAGGCAGCCAAGTTGATGTCTGCTGCAAAGGTTCATGTTGGCCGAAATTACCAATTTGTGGAGGAAGACATTGACACAATGCCCTTGCTGGCCAGATCCAAGACATCCAGGATAAGGTGTATGTTGCTGGGTTAGAGGCCAACGTATTTGAGGAAAGGGCATCTGCAGTCATGACGGCCTGTCAAACAGCTGTCACAAATGAATTGGAAGCCAAGGCAGTGCTAAAGGAAACAGAGGCTGCTCTGGACAAAGCAATGAAAGAGTCTGAGGCACTTGAGTCATCACAAGAACTTGATGAGTAGGTGTTCACTCCAGTGGGTGTATACAAAGCAGGCCCACCTTTCAGGTGTGGCAAGGGGTGTTCATCAATTAAAAGCAATGAAGATACAGGCAGAGGCTATGTTACATGTCCCATATTCAAAAAATAAACAAAAGTCACAAGTAATCACCATCTTGATCAAAGCAGTGCAGGGGCGTGTACACGATTATTCTATTTATGGTGTGCATAACAGGAAGTTATTGAGGATTCACCAAAAGATGCACATGAGCATGTGATCATTTGGCACTTCCTCCCACCTCACATGGGCTCATCGAGCCTGAACAATTCAAAGGACCTGGGAATGGATGAAACGGAATCGTATGATAGTCCAAACTGGAGTTGTGAAGCCTGCCATCGTGTCAACCATATTTTTGCAACAGCCTGCCTCTTCATTTTTGAGCTCGATCACAATCTGCTTTTCGTGCTTCGCTGGGTTATTCTGTGTTTGTGTTGGCGGCGCATAGAGATGAAGAAAAGGAAGAAGGGCAGGTCAGCGATGTGTCTGATGCAGATGAACCACCTGAAAAGACAAAGACACGTATGGAAGCTGAGGTAAATTGATGCAGTGCATCCACCACAACAGTCGATTGAGCAGCGCCTGCTTGTTTTCTGCACATTGTTGGATTAGGATGCACTGTCCTGAAATGTTAGGGTGGGGCCATCAACTAACTCAGATTGCATTGTGGACTCGTTGAAGGGGAGTTCACGTGTGTTGATGCCTGGGGTCGAGGTGCCCTCTGCGCCTCCTGCTGAAAAGAAAGAGAAACGAAAGGAGGTATACACCGAGGAGAAACAGCACCCAGCTGTGCTGTTCTTGAAAAAGCATGGAGTCGCAGTGGGGACTGTGTTGCTCTTTGCTGCAGCTTCTGTTGTATTCCTTCAGTCATCCACTGGCAAGACTCTGCTGGCCTCAGCGGGTGGCTTTTTCAGCAAGTTGTCATATCACCTGGGTCAACTCTGGCACTACATCATTCCATCTTCACATGCGTGAGTATCAACTTGCCACGCTGCTGTTGTATTGCCATGACATATCTGTGCTCCCCACTGTTCCAGAGAGTCTTCAAATTTCTGCATGTTGGCGGGGGGCATGCAGCGCAATGTGGCAAGAATTGCAGAGAACTGCTCTGGTTTGGCTTTTGATCTCCATGCTGCAGGCTTAGCTGTGACAACAACGGTGAAAGACAGCTTGAACAGCAAGGTTTGCACTGTGGACATTTGCCCGTAGAATGTGGTCTTGTCATCTTGTGGCAGACTGGCCGGTTGTAGAGTATCATCAGTTGATCATGAGCTCAACCAGTCATGCTTTCATGAGCCATAGAGTTCTTATATGTGGTGGTTGGTGCTGGTTTATGGTCAAAACCAGAGATCAACATGCTAACAGGGAAACAAATAGTCCAATCTGTGATGAAATGATCACATGAGATTCCTGATCACTTTGCTTGCAATGTGATTCTCAATGTGCACATCTGGCGTATGTTGACGTGCACATATTGGTACTCAGACCATTACAGAAAAGGATGTTTGTTGAGTGCAAAATGAACTACGTTGTGTCATCTGCAGTTCAAAACAGTTCACTCTCTCCCCCTGGGAAAAAAAACACTTTATGTGGAATCAGCCATGCAGGACATAACAATACAAACTCTGCACCTGCTGCCTTGCACACTTCTGCCGTCAGTACCAGTGCCCTGATTGCGATTTATTGCAAGAACTTATATGGTCCAGTATCCCTTCTTTATTATGCATGCCACAGGACCCACGAGCCTTAGCGGGCATTTGGAATGAATGACCCTTTGCACTGTCAGCCATGGCGAGACCATTGTCCCTGACTATGTGCTTGGATGCGATAGGGGCGAGGAAGGTTTCCTCCAGACCATTTGGCTGCTTCTTATGAGTGTCGTGATGGTCCCACTAGTCTTAAAGGGCATCCCAGGCGGGACCCCCATCTTGGGGTTTCTGGTATGTTTATATGCTCTCCCGTTGAGCCTCACGTGGTTTGCCACATTTTTGTGTCTGTCTTCAGATAGTTGTGCAGTTGTCATTGTTGTCTGTGAGTCCTTGTGTTCGTTGGCAATGCTGTATGGCCATTGCATCAGGTACCATTGGCCTCTGCAGTCCAGCGCGAGCTCTGCAACATGCTATTTTTTCCTGTGCTGTGGCTTACCATCTTCTGTGATGTGAGAGAGTTGCAAATCTGTCCTTAGGAGGGTCTACCCCACATGCAAAATGCTTCTGACTGTAATGATCGTGTGAGTTGGGTGACAGTTGAGGTGCCACTCACTGGTGCAGTGTTTGCCTGCTGCCAACAGATAGCTGGTGCTCTGGTAGGGCCGCATGCCCTGGGAATAGTCAAGAACATGGAGGGGGTCCACATGCTGGGGGAGCTGGGCGTTGTGTTTCTGCTCTTCAACATCGGCTTGGAGCTGAGCTTGGAGAGGCTGAGGTCCATGGCCAAATTGGTCTTTGGCCTTGGAACTGCCCAAGTGCTGGTCACTATTTTGGCAGTGGCAATGATCGCCGTTTCTCAGACTGGTGTGTCAGGATCAGCGGCAATTGTTGTTGGCTGTGCTCTGGCTTTGTCATCCACAGCTGTGGCCATGCAGGTGGGATGCTCTCCCAGAATGCAACTTTCTTGCCACTGGCTCATGGTGCATGAGTAGTGGTGCCTGTTTGCTGTTTGCGCGGTTTTGACAAGCAAAAGCATCAGGTATTGTGCCCTGGTGTCAAGCCCTTTCGATGGAGATGTGTGGCAAAATGGTGGCTGCTGTTTGGCGGCTTTCTTGCCGCTGGACCTCTTTTAGGGATTGTTCCTTTCCTCTTGTCAGCCCATCTTCCCTGTCCAGTGCAGCCAGGGCAGTGAGAGTGCTGTGTATGTGCTGCGCAGGTACTGCAAGATCGTGGTGAGAATGGATCAAGACATGGGAGGGCCACATTCTCTGTTCTGCTGCTTCAGGATTTGGCAGTTGTTGTTGTCCTCATCATGATTCCCTTGCTGGCTCCAAAGAATGGTGCAATGGCTGGGGGCATCCATCATATCCTCAAGATCCTTGGCACCGCAGCTGTGAAAGCTGCAGTGTGCATAACAGGCATCATTGTTGGTGGCCGTGTGCTTCTGAGGCCCATCTACAGGTCAATCGCAGGTTTTGAGAACAAGGAGATCTTTGCTGCCCTCACCCTGCTTGTTGTGCTGGGAGCAAGCAAGCTCACTGAGGTGTCGGGCCTGTCGCTGGCCCTGGGGGCTTTTCTTGCAGGCCTCTTGCTGGCAGAGACAGAGTACGTGCTGCAGGTGGGTCAGCACACAGGGCAGGCGATTTTACCAAGCTTCTGCATGATCGATTCGTGCCAGCTGCTCTAAAAACTATTCCTTGTCATAGATGCACAGGAGGCTGCATATCTCTTAATTTGGTTGTGGCAGAGATCCATTGTGTGAATGATTGCTGGGCCACAAGCTGAAAACCCAAATAGCCTCAGTGCATTCCTGTATGCAAAAAGCAGCAACCAGTCCCTTCACACTGTCAATTGTTCGCTCCCGCTGCTCGTTCATTGCCACTGCCAGTAATGGGGCAAGTGGTTTACAAGCTCTGCACACATACAGAGATGAGTAGGTGTGTAAATGAACATGAGTAAGCAGAAAAATGTACACTGATGAGGGCTGACTCATGAATGTTGTCAATGCATTTGCCAAAAACTGGCAGAGGATGGCTCTTGAACCTACAAGGAGAAGATGGGATAATCTGCGCTGACATCGTTGTGCTTTGGCATACTGGGTGTGCGCAGGTTGAATCTGACATTGCCCCTTATGAGGGGTTGCTGATGGGGCTGTTCTTCATGACTGTTGGCATGGAGATCTCTGTCGGGCCACTTTTCGCACAGTGGAAGTCAGTTCTCACATCCTTGACCATCCTTCTTGCTGGAAAAGTTGCAATCATGGCTGCCGTGGGGCCCTGTTTTGGGCTGTCGCGGGTGACAGCCATTCGCTCTGGGCTGCTGCTTGCTGCTGGTGGCGAGTTTGCCTTCGTGACTTTGGGTGAAGCAGAAGTCCAGGTCTGCACACGCAATGGAAGAGATTCTGCCACCATGCTGTGCTGCACAGTGTGGCTGTTGCATGTCTATTGAGAAAGGACTGTTATGTACTATGCTTGATGTGGCTGCCACCAGACGCGTAGCACAGCACTGGTTGGGCACACTGCATTTGTTTGATCGCCATGGTGGAACTGCCGTTCCACAATGTGAAGTACTTACCCTTTCTTTCGTTGGTGACCATTACATCACAGTGTTAACCCAACACTCATTATAACGACATTGACTTTTGTTGCTTGATTTGTGGCCTGGGTGGGTGCTCTATCAACTAACAATTGTGTTGGTACACTGTTCGCTGGTGCAGTGGCTCATCTTTCGATTGAGTACAGGGCATCTGGAACCAGTTTGAAAAATAAGATCTGTATTTACACAGCCTATAAAAAGGCCAGGCTACCTAGAAGCATATGTTGCGTATCATGTTGCGTATCATCATTGATGTATACTTGACAGTTCGATGGACAGCAACAGTCTAATTCCACTGTTTTATGTGTTGGATTCAAAAGACTTTGGACATTGGCCTATTCTTCCTGAATGGCCACCGCTACCATTGGATTCTTGCAGCACTCTGCTTGCAGTCACTCCAATGTGCGTTGCTCTTCCGCAGGGCATCTTGCCATCGCCAATCGTCAACCAAATTTATCTCGTGGTGGCACTTAGCATGGCTCTTCTTCCATACCTTGCAATTTTGGGTGGGAAACTTGGCCAGTTGTTTGAGAAGAGTGATATGAGGGTGAGGCATTTGGCTCCTGGGCACGTCATCCCAAGAATGAACAGTAGACATTGAAGTTGAGTTGGGCATTCTGTATTGAGCCAGGGTACTGTGTCGAACAATGCAACATTTGATCATGGAAAGAAGCAATGTTGAGCTTGAAAGGATATGTTGGGCCAGGGAAATACACTTGCCAGAATCTATTTCTGTATGCCGCAGTGAGATGGTTTGGCACATGTGTTCATGTCTGCTGCTTAGGCTGTAGTAGCGATCACGTGCTGGTACCTATGTAGATGGCAAAGGAGTGCGCTCTTTTATGCTGCCAGTGCAAGTTCCTTGGACTGATTGACTGACTCTGTGTATTGATTTTCTATATGGTAAAGGCTATGCAACCTCGTGGCGAGGAGACTGGCAGCCAGAAGGGCCACGTCATCATTGCTGGTTTTGGCAGAGTGGGGTCTCTCATAGCAGGTCTGCTGAGCGAAAGGCTGATCCCGTATGTTGCGCTTGATGTTCACAGTGACAGGGTTCAGGTATGTGGTTTTTTCACTGCCCAGATTGGGTGTGACACGTTGTTTGTTCAGCAAAGGTTCCAGTGGTCTTCTCGCTTGGCTTTCAGCCTACTATGGTGTGCACAACAATAGGTGTCCGCAACAGTGTCACCTACTACGTTCTTGGCTAATCATCATAACGTGGGTCTGACAAATCAGCACCATTCCTGCAATTCGTCAGCATGCTGAAGTGGCTGGTTAGCCTTGCAGCAGGAGATGTATGGCAAACCGCTGAGATTTTGATCTCATTTTCATTGTTGCAAACCAGAGAACTACCACAGGTCAGTTTTCCTTGGCATTGTCACAAAATAGAATAGGGTGTTGGAAACATACTGATTTGGGTCTGAGGGAGTGTGTTCACATCATTTAACAATAGTTGTGTCTGGAGTTGCTCTGGGGCTTGTGGCTCAGCTGTGCCCCAAGTGAAATTTCTGCTGGTTCATGCTTTCAGAATGGCAAGGCTTTGGACCTTCCTGTTTACTTCGGGGATGCTGGCAGCCAAGCAGTGCTTCAGAGCGTTGGTGCACAGAATGCTGCCTGCATTGTGGTGGCGCTTGATAGCCCTGGTGGGTGTAATTGTTGGCAAACAGGGACTCTTCCTCTGAGCATTGACCACCTTGACACTGCTGTCTATGTACCGTGGAATGATCTGATGACAGCAGCGGCTCATAACGTCCCCAAATGAACATTCTCTGAAGTTCCACTTTGAGGACATAGGGAGTGTCTTCTGGCCCCCTTGCCACTGGATGACGCAGTGCACTGCAAACAAGCATTTTCATTCACGCTGCATGCACACTGCGGCATGCTTTGGGCAGCTGCTCGAAAGACCAAACGTCCTGCACGTTTGTGGCAAACACTGTTATACGTCGCCATTAGCACCCCACAGACGCTGGAGCCCTGCACACAGGTGCCAGGGTGTATGGTGTCACTGTGACATCCCTGGTGTGCTGGTGGTTTCTCTCTTTGTTCAGGTGCCAATTATCGATGTGTCTGGGCTGCGAGCCGCCACTTCCCCCATGTTCCGATCTACGTCCGTGCACGAGACGTGGACCATGCAAGGAATTTGGCAAAAGCCGGAGCTTCAGTGGTTGTGCCAGAGACTCTCGAACCGAGCCTGCAGCTTGCCGCATCTGTTTTAAGTCAGGTCTGTGGCTGGCTGGCGAAAATGTGCGATGAGCATGGTTGCCAAAGTGCGGCAAACCACTGCCCTATTACCTGGGGCACAAGTGGTGTGGCTGATGGCTGGCCAGCTGGCTGAACCCACGAAAGCCCTAGCGAAAAGAACCTCACCATCACGTGGGCACCCGCACACATACGGGCAAATGTTTCTGTCTTTACTGTCACGTCTCATTCCATCGCATCATCACAATGGCAGGCAGGCACTATTGCTGATTCTACAATCTATTTTCTGTCTGTCTAGTCAACTGTAATGTCTCAAAGGTGTGGCAGAAGGTGGAACAACGCTGCTGCTGGGCTACAGTGCCGATGGAAAATTTCGTAGGGCTCATGCATATTGCGATTCAGCATTCTTGTGGGTACATCCATTGCGCTTTACTTTTTTGGTTTACTGAGTTGCTCTGCCACAGGAAATGTTTGATGCATTGAGGGTTTTGATACAAGCACCCTCCTCTGGCAGAATATTAGGCGTTGCCAGTTTCTCAGTGCTTGGGCACTGTGCTTGGGAATTTGTTGCTCATGGGACGATTATGTTGGAGGGAATTGTCTTTTGTCACCTGTACAAATTCCTAAATTATGTCTGGCTGTACTTCTCGAGACAGAAAATATGCAAATTACTGTCACACAACAGGCTCAAATTTTGTGCCGAGTACAATGTTCTACGAGAACACACAGTGTCGAAGCATTCATGCCGTAGCATATGCTATTATCGATTCTACCAACAATAGAGACATGCCAGCGACCGCCGCAGCGCGGCCCTGCTGAACGGAAAATTGCGACTCTCTGCCATTGCGTTGGGTTGATGTGGACATCGTGTACTGACTATGTAGTTGCCGCGAGCGTCCAAGCACAAACTCTGTCCATCATCACCAGTTTGCTGCTATCCATTCGCCTACAAAGTTAGCTTACAACATGTAGGCGTCCGTCACAGTCTTGGGGACCCTAATCGTGATGCGATCCTGGCAGCATGCAATTCTGATGGCCGTCCTGCGTTTCATAAATTGCCCAGACTGAGGTGTCCACGGAGGAGGTTGGCGTCATCATCGACAGCTACCGGCGCACCCATTTTGCAGAGCTGGCAAGCCTCGCAAGGGAGACGGGCTACAGCATGGGTTACGGCTTCAGCCAAATGGAAGACGGCATCATGGAGGAGGATGACGACTTGGACACGGCCGCCTTGGGAACGGCAGCAGCGCCCGAGGGCGCTTGAATGGCAGGACACTAAGTGAGGCAGGAGCTACCTGCACTTTCGCCTTCCACATGGCAGCTTGTGGAAGTCGTGTCTGGCAGGCACCCGCCGCCGCACAAAAGGCGAACGGGATTTTTTTGATCAGGATTTCATTATTTACAAATGGATGAGGTGCTGAATGCGGGAGGCAAGGGATTTGTCGCTTGACGGATGTGGCACAGTTTCTGCGTATGTTGGAAGAGCATGACAGCGTCTGTGGCGGTCACAAGACTGATTGAGGTGAACGCGGCACGCTGGATTATGCCAAGGCGGCCAACACAGCCATCACTGGTTGGCAGCAGCTGGCGAGTCGAATGCAATCCATACGTTTGTGACCAGGCACTCTGCAAGGCGAAGGTTGGAAATTGGTGTCGGCTAGATTTTGCAGAGACTTTCAACTGATAAGGTGTGCCTTGTCGCAAGTCTGACGTATAGCGGGTGGGATAGCTCGAGATTTTGTGCGCTTTGTGGGCTCCGATCCAATTCACTTTCGAATTTCTTTGTCCCGGTTTGAAGACAAATAACCTTTGCTTTGATGGTGACAGGGCGTAATTTAATGCAGAGTTATATCGCGACCATCACAACGAGCTAGCCTCGACTTATCTTCGGCTCTGCCGATGTCCTCTCGATCGCCATGCCAACATATACAATATTGTGGCGAGGTGCTGTTGACTGTCAGGAAAAAACTCTTGGTGCAGTTCTGCTTTGGCTGCGGTCTTGCATGTAAGGGCGGTTCACAAACTCTGACCCACGTGCTCTTTTTGCAGAAAGCATTCCAAATTGATGGACTGGGGATCGAGGGCCCTGGAGTAGTTGCCTGTGTAACAAGCTGCTGCTACTAAAGAACGCGTTCTTTTGCTGTCCTGGCGTCTTCGGAAAGAACCCTGCCGTTGCTATGATGCTCGGGCTGTCCAGTGTACCTGTCAGTCCCATTGCTTTTACAAGAAATTCACTCGGTGGGTGAAGGCTGCTCCCCGGGTGTCACTTAAAGTGTCACCGCGTATTTGCGCTATCCTGTCCCCTAGATTCCAAACGGAACGCCACATGAATGTATCCACATCATGCGTGGCCATGGGCAAGCGTCGCGAGGTCTGACACCTAATCAGCAAGTTCAGCAAGGCTCCAATGGACGACATCCACCGCCATAGCTATGGCGCTGACATGGCATCGGCTCTTCGCCGTCCTTTGATCTAGAGAATGTCCCATACTCGCGCCAGAAAGAACGTCAGTTCCTTGCATCATCATCATCACGAATCCTTAGAGATCAGTGTGTGGAGATAGCCATCAGCTCCCAGTTTCGCCCAAGAAAAGCAATGCACATGGTCTGCTCAACGAGATCCCGCTACAATCCGAGAAACCACTGAGCTGCTTTGCGTCAGAATTTACAGTTTACACAACTTGTGAGCTCTGATGCCTGGAAGTACCTTCTTTAGTAAGGTAGAATCAAACCGACATAACACTTTGTCTTCAATTCCCAAGCATTAAAACTCATAAGCCAAAACTCATAAGCCATTATCAAATGAAAGAGAATCAATGCTTTTCAACTCATTCCCTCAGAGAATTTTATCTGGATAATCCGCCATGCATCCGGCATTCATTCCTGTTAACGAGCCAGAATTGAGAACAAAATCCTGTCGTTGCAGGCTTGTTGGTGGACTAGAAAATTTAGTGGCTACTTGCAGGGGTCCAGAGGCGGCTGGGAATTTCCCTGAGGGTTCAATATCTGTGTTGGCTGAGCGACCTTGGGCCATGCTGGCATCGAATATGAGACAGCACTGGGTCGCGTTCGGCACAACTGCAAAATGGCATACAGTTTAAGCCATCTTTGCAGAAATAGTGACCAAAATGAGCTGTGTTTGATGCAACGAAAAGAAGTGGTTTGACAGCTCAAAAAGAAAAAATCAAAGTGCAGTGTGAAAGAAAAACATGTGCATCCCGTTATTCAACTTGGGAGATATGTTAAAAATATGTTCATTCACTCAGGGCCAATAGTTTAGCATTAGTCTAAGTGCAAAGCAAGGAAAAGGAACGAAATGCACAGCTCCCATGTGGTGGCAACCTGCAGCACCTGTTCGAGCTGCGTGGGAACCGTGTTACACCACTAGCCAGGCCGCGGACCACACACTGTGGCGTGGTTTTCGGTTCGATGCGGGCGATGGCGCCCGCCGAGGCGCCCAATGAGGCCGCGGGGCCTCCTCCGCCCGATTGCCGGCGGGCTTTCCGGGGCGCTCGTGTCTTCGGGTATGCAGCGTGGGCCCAGGCCGCAGGGATGGCTGGGCGCGGGGCGGCTGTGCGCGCGGTGGGTGCGCGGCGCCGTGCGGCTTGCGGGTGCAGCCGCTGGGAGCGCGAGACAGGGGAAACAACGGTTACAGTACTGCGTTTGGTGGTCACCCTTTTGGGGCGGTCACCAGTGCGTGTCACATGACAATGCAGCGCACCGTATCGTATCATGTCCAGCGATAGTATCTTATCCCCCAATACGGTCCAGGAGAGGGCCCTAAAGTACTAGATATTCAACTAACTATATCTCCTCAACCGCTAAGCCAATTAGGGTGGTTCAAAAACCTATGGACTCCTAACAGAGTCTACTTTCACCTGAGATACCATAATCACTGTACATTCCACTTCCCAGCTCCCATATAGAGAAACATTAACTACCCCCTGTAGTTTACATCACAGTACTTCCCCCTGGGGGTAGTTTCGCCCTCGAAACATTCGGCGAACCAGTGGACCTAATTATCCTCTACTGGTTTGTCCCTCTTAATCATCTTCTTCAGTTCCTCTGGGTAAGTGAAGTTCTCTTCTGGCGTCCAAGAGGCATCATCGAGTGAATAATCCTTCCACAACACCAAAAACTCCTTTTGCCTCTTAGAACTAGGGCCGGTCCACCGCCAACGCAGTAACTTCTCGATCTCATATGGCTCATCCTCCTCGGGCTCCAACTCCTCTACCTGACCAGATGTAATGGGCTGTGTCCAAGTACTCGTCCTAAATGGGCTAGAGATGGCCACCCGGATCCGTTAATAGCGGACAGAGGTTAATTTCCGTTAATTTTCCGTTAATTAACGGAAAATAACGAAAAAAGACAAAAATTAACCAAAAATTAACGGATTTTTGGATTTTGGGGGGATTTTTGGGTTTTAGTCATACTTATAGTTTATGGAATTCGCTATTAGAGAGTATGTTTATATTTTATTTCAACCTATGAATATTAGATTTTCAACTAGCCGCAGTTGTTATGATTTTTGGGGGGGGTTCGATTTTTTGGATTTTTTTCGTTTTTTCTGAATTTTTCTCCCTTTTTCTTTAACGGAATTTAACGGACAGCTGATAAAAATTAACGAATAAAATTTAATGGACCGGATGGCATCTTTGAGTGGCCACCTTTAGAATGGGCGCAGCAAGCTGACATGGAAGACATTGTGGATCTTCCACTTTTCTGGTAAGTCCAGCTCGTAGGCCACTTGTCCCACCCGACAGACAATAAAGAATGGCCCAACGAACCGCTTCTTCAGCTTCCGGATCGGTGTATTTTTCATTTTTAAGTGCTCTGTTGAGAGCAGCACCTGATCCCTACTACTGAACCTCTATTCCCTTCTCTTCTGGTCGGCTTGCGTCTTCATTCTGTCCTGAGCCCGATGCAGAAATTGAACCGTTGTAGAGAAGTTCCTTTTCATCCGCTCTACAAATTGGTTGACTCCTTCAATCAAAGTGGAGTCACTGTCGCAGATAAGGTCCATCGGAGTACACGGATGGAAACCATAATTCAGATAGAATGGCGTGTACCCAGTGGCCTGCGTTGGACTGTTGTTGACGACGAACTCCACGGTGGACAACAATCGCTCCCAGTTCGAACCTTCTTGCCCGGCGTGCAGTGTACAGTGCAGCACCATCTCTACCACCCTGTTCATTGCTTCAGTTTGACCATCCGTCTGAGGGTGGTAGGCACTGGACATCCTCAAGGTGCTTCCCAGAATATTCCACAGCTCCCGCCAGAACTTGGACACAAAGCGGGGGTCTCTGTCACTCGCGATGGAACGAGGAATCCCATGCAATTTTCCCACTGAATTCCAGTAGACTCGGGCAGTATCAGCAGTTGTAATAGTCTACTTGACTGGTACAAGGTGCACCATCTTTGTGGCCCGATCTACGATGGTGAGAATTCCATCGTTCCCTGCCTCTGATTTAGGCAACCCCATTATGTAGTCCATGCTGACGTTTGCCCACTTCTGTTCTGGGAGTTTGAGGGGCTGTAAAAGTCCAGCTGGCACACGGTGGATGGCTTTCTCTTGTTGGCACACTGGGCACCCCATGACACAGTCACGAATATCTAGGGTGTGCTCGGGCCAATAGAAAGAACGTTGTATATTTTTCAATGTCTTGTGGTAGCCAAGATGGCCTGAGTAAGGGATTTCATGTAATTCCCTTAGAATTTGCTTTTTAATATCTGGCACATTTGGCACCACCAGCCGCCACTGTGTCCTTTGGTGCTTGTCGCTGTCCCTCATCTCCAGTAATCCACTTGACAACCAGTAGGTTCGATCACCAATAGTAATGTCGCTGCCCTGGGCTGATTCCAGTTGGGATAGAATATCAGCCCAACGAGTGTCTTGATAAAGTCCCTTTTTAATCCCCTCCCTCATATCTCTCGCCAATGAAATTCGGGACCGGGCGACCAAAATTGATGGTCCCGAACTTTCCTCCTAACCCGAAACTGGGGTCACCTCCGGACACGTCTTTGCAAAAATCTGAGCCAATTTCTTTTGAATGCCGTCGTCAGACTTGTCTTCTCCCAACAATAGCCTTTTGACCAACGACTCTTCCTCCTCCCGGACGTGTACCATTTCTTTAACGTCCTTGAGACTTCTCCGGGTGAGGAAATCTGTGGGGTTTTTCTTGCCTAGTATATGGACCAGGTCACAATCATACCCCTGAAGAACCTGAACCCACTTCCAAATCCTCTTATTCACAGCGGGTTGATT